TTCGAGGCTTTGAATAGTATTTATGCAAAACCACACTGTTTTTGGAGCATAAATAAAAAAATGACAAAGTATTTACATAGCTTCAATGTTTCTGTCACCCTGTATTGGATTGTTTAAGAGGCTAGCTAAGAATCTCCTGCTATGCTTTTTCCTTCCACAAAGCTTTCCTTCCACAAGGATGTTGTCAGTCAGTCTGCCAGTTGCAACTGACGAAAACTCACAATATGCAAGAAAAAAACCAGCACAGCAGTGGTGGCCGGTCGCTAAAAACTCAGCAGTGAAAGAGTTAAATGAACTTTTTAAAGGAAAAAAAGGAATATGATGCATGAAATCCATGAGAACAATGTCCCCAAGAGTTCCCCTGCCCTCCAACTCTTGATTCACATTACGCTCATGCATGACAGTTTTATTGAAAGTTCCAAAGAGGCTTGCATCCCTAAGAAGTCGAGGAGATTGCTCAGACAGTAGGTCCAGTTTACTCATAACAGTAAGTCCTTGCTCAGATGCAAGAACAAATGTTGGATCATTACAGGGTCATTTAAATGAGAAATAGGTCAATGAAGTGAGAGACCTGGAAGCAGCTACTGATTAACGCAAAGCACAATCTCATTGATTTTAAGCAATGTACCAGTGGCATGAGTCAACATTCACTCAAGCTCTTAGAATAAGGGAGAGTTGATTTGCAAACTATGAACCAATTTCTCTTTAAAAGGGAAAAAGGACAGCATAATTGAAAGAATGGTTCAAAGGGCAAATTTAAAAACTCTTGGAACTCACCAGAATTGTCTATAATGACCTAAGGTCATCTTGTCCCAACAAATCTCAATCGATGACTGCACAAGCCTGTGAATCTGATACTGGAACAGACAGACATTTTTGCAACCGAGGACTCAAAATGACAACTACTCTGTAGGAATGAATATGTTCAGATTATAGTGAAGCTGGAATTTCCAGGAAGGAAAAAGCATAGAAAGATATTCATAGCAAGCCTCTTAAACAATCCAATACAGGGTGACAGAAACATTGAAGCTATGTAAATACTTTGTCATTTTTTTATTTATGCTCCAAAAACAGTGTGGTTTTGCATAAATACTATTTGAAGCCTTGTAATTCAAATGCAACATGTTACAAATTATGTTTTGAAATTATTGTCCTTCAAATGGTCTCTGTGAGATGCAGCACAAGAAAGTAAACATCTTTCAATTTTCCTGATAGTCACTTTGCACAATGCTGGGGTTATTCTGGCTACTTCTACATTAATTATTTTCAAGTTCCTGTAATGTGTGAAGCCTATTTTAGTACACCTTTTATTTCAAATAGCCCAATAAAAAAATTATTTAGTGCAGTTAAATCTGGAGATCTAGCAGGCAATGAAATGTCACCAAACAAGAGATAATGTGACTATTGAACTTTGAAAGACATTCACTTTCCAGTGCTGCATTTCATGGAGACCATTTGAAGGACATTATCATCAAAACCTAAACTGTAACATGTTCCACTTGAATTGTAAATCCTTGAATATTATTTGTGCAAAACCACACTGTTTTTGGTACATAAAAAAAGACAAAGCATTTACATTGCTTCAATGTTTCTGTATCACCCTGTACAAGCACACTGGTCATTTCAGGAGCGATACATTAATTCTGAAAAAGTCTCTCAACATGTAAATCTAACTTGCCACTATCATATGAGGCAAACAAAAATCCATTAGTCATTGCTGTCCAACTTCAAAGATGTGGAAAATTTAATATTTTTCTTAATTTGGTATGTATTTCTCATTACCATGGAGTGCATTCTTGGATAGGAAATGAAGTGGTTTGTTCATAACAAGCTGANAGTGAATTACTGACCTCGCCAGCAAGGGCTGGAGCTTTCAGCTGGCATTCCAGGCGGAGTGTCCCATCAATGAAAACAGCAAGCTGACTGTGGCCAAAGGGGCGGCGAGGCAAGGCATGAGAGATGGCAAGACAGTGCCACCGTCCATCATTCAATGGGAAGTCAGAGAGGTGTGCAAAGTGAAGCTCCTTCTTTTGATAAACCACTATGCCCAGGATCCCATCTCGGGTGACCCATAACTGCAACAGGGGTCCTGCTATCGTGCACAGACTAAATGGAGACACAAAAAGGGACCATAAAGAAACTAAAGAACTTTCCCTATTTCCAAAGCAAAAAATACACATCCATTTCTCTGGGTGATAGACTTAATGCTCTCTATTTCCAAGTATCTCCTGAAACTGTATTTCTAATCATAGGGATGAGAGTGATTCATAAGAATCAGGTTGAAAAGGCAAGTGGAATGTGATGATGAAATGAGATGCTGACACAAAGAGCTGCCTGCGGACAGGGCCATCTTGCTCCTTGGGAAGATAAACTTCATCCAAACGAAGCCATGTGTGGAATGAGTAACCCTGGCTGGTGTTAGGCCACCGGTTCATTGGCCCCCCCACACGCAACCCATCTGCAACATGTTGAACATCCATGACTTTATCTGTAACTCCTAAGGGGATTCAGAGAATAATGATAATGCTGGCCAACCTCTGGGAGACTGGATGTCATAAAAGCAGAGAGCATCAGTAAAGCCCTCCCTTTTGGCCATCTCACTCAGGCAAAACGTCATCTTTCTCATAGACGAAAACTGAGGGGTGAAGGGAAGAAAATATAACAAGCTGGGTAAGCCCAGCCCAGTAGTGGGCTTGCTTTAAATGGATGTTGAGAATATATAGATGAGACAAGTATGTAGAGATTGGGAAATGGGAGGGGGTAAATAAATCCTATAGGGCTGCCAGATATGGCATTTTATTTCAGCTAACAGTAACAAATTACCAAGACTGGAAGGGAACTGACAGCTCTAGTTGGAGACATGAGACCTGACCTAAGCTGAAGGTAATGCAAGCACATTGCATTAGGATCATGAAAGACTGGAGGGAGCTGATGTATTTTCTGCAGAAAAACACTATAACTTTTGGCAAAATTTTGCAATAAAAAAAACATAAAAAACAGTCTGTCCCTTGCCCTTCTGTGTCTACAAACCAATCCAGCCATTAATGTATCAGACACTGCTATTTTTTTGTCCTTTCATATGAGAAAATCAAGAACCTGCATAAATAACCTTCTCTCTCAAGGAACCTGATCTAAAGGTAAGTTTACACTTTGCAGAAGAGACTATTTTTTGTTACTCTTATATTCTTTGATATACAAATGTCACTTTTCATAAGTACCTTAATTTAGATCCTGGGAAGTGCATGGGTGAAATTTCTTTCTTATTGGTTTTAGTTTGAGTTCTCTAACAATATATTTAAATGGATCCTTTGACACTTTGCAAAATAGAATAAAGGCTTTCTATAACCATATTAAAAATTGAAAGAATTCAAAGGAAAACCACTAGAATGATCCTGAAAATGAGTAAAAGAACTGCCCTCCCATACCCCGTTCGTCTGCAAACATTAAATCTCATGTCCACCAAAAACTGTCTTAAATATCTTTCATTAACCCACTGTATTAATAATCTCCATTCCTCAGAACCCAACCGCTCTGTTCTGGGCCACTTAACCATCAACAACAGAAACCTCGAAACACTCAACTTCAAACGAATGTCTAGTAGGACCGATATTAGAGCAAATTCCTATTACCAAGGCCTTATAAGACTATGGAGCGAACTCCCAAGCAAAATTTAAAATTCTGTTGTTGAAACAGCCCCAAATATTGCAAAAAAAACTCTTGAAAGAGCATTTCCTCCAGGAATCCTTCCTGGTATAACTCATTCCCGATATGCTTGGTGATGAACATAATTTGTCCCCAACCACTAGTGTCCCCCTTTTTCATTTTCCTGTCTTAATATGCTCTCTCCCTCCATACCCATAACCCTATATACTCTGTTTCTCTCGCCTCTTCCCTGTTTTTGCTCCTGTGTTTTGTTATTTATTTCCTAGTTCTGCCTTATTTCCTTTTGTTATGCTTTGTTCCTTATGTATTCCCTTCCATGTTTCCTGGCTCTCATAGTGTCCACTGCTTTAATTGTCAAAATAAACTGATACTGATACTGAAGCTGATATTGTAGGTCACAATCCAACTTTTACAGATATAACACACTCATAACCCTGTATGAAGCATTTGTTCATTATGGAGCTTCTCTTGTGCAGCACATCATTGTACTAAGGAAACAGGCTTGACTTTCGCGTATTTACTATACCCCATTCCCTTTTCAGTTCTTCGTTCCAGCAATAGAGAGAGCAAAGGAGCAGAATGATAAGAAGAGATTTACCCTGAAGTTGCGAGAAGATAGGAGAATGCCTCAGATGCCTCTGAAAAATTTGTTCCTTCAGAGTCTCTATCTTCCTCTTCATACACAGTAGGCATTCTCTCTTAGGAAATCAGGCTCTATAGTGGCTTTATTTAACTTATCCCATGATGGAATTACTGCCTTTTCTCACTCCTAGAGAAAGATCGGTGAATCGTGCTGTCTGGATCCTCCTGAAGGGGAAGCTGCATCTCCTTGAGCACTTTGATGCTATGCAACATTTTTTCTTCCTTCACAATGAAGGTTTTGTGCAATCCCTTGCTCTCCACTTCCTTGACTTGGTGAGTGATATTTTTGGGAGTGAAAGTAAAATATGGGAAGAAGGTACACTTTCATCTTTGTCAATTTTGTCTATTGGTTGGTGGATTGTTATGTGACAACCTCTTCATTTTTCATTCAGATTTCACACTGTTAATTAACCACAATTCTCTACCCTACTGATCAGTGAGGCTCAGACTTTTACTGTGATTTAGCATCCTGACTGGTGTCTCTGATCAGTGGAAGGACTACATGATACAGTTTGTTTTGTTTTTGTTTTCTCAATTTTCATTGTTTTTCATGTCTTAAAAGCTAATATAGTTCTTCTTGGTATATAAAATTATATCCCTTTTTTCCAATTCTGAGCCATTTTTCACTCATTTCCTTTTCTTTCCAGCATCTTTTAGTAATATCTTTCTGTCAATCTACATTGACTTTATTGCTATTTCTTATGTTCTTTTAAAACTATTGGAACTGGCTCCTTCATTGTTCTGGTATTGCTGCTTAATACAGTAGGTATGCTCACAGAATAACTTTTCAGCAATTGTTCAAAGTGTTGACTTCCTTTGCAGATGGAGAAGGTGGATGAGGCACCCCTGTCTACATACGAGTGAATCACTTGGCACTGTCATCTGCCATTGAATCTTCCTTCCCTGCTCGTCACTCCTATGCTCAGAGCTTGCAATTGCGATTGGTGTCTTCCACATCAAGCACTCATCATCTTCCAACCACAGGTCAATCCTTCAACACATCATGAATGAAAGTTGAAGCAAACCTTATGCTTGTGCCTTTTATATGCACAATGCAGTTATCATATTCAAATGGAGATATACCATAGGAGAAGTGTGTTTATGAAGGGTGTTCAATAATTATGTGGAACTTCATATATATTATTGCTTCTGATAGAATCATTTTCATTGTTCAATGTCATTTCCATGTTTGGCAATGTGCATTGCCCATTTGCCTTTGAGTTAACCAACACCTGAAAAACAAGAGTTTACTCACTGACTAGCCATGATGCAACTGCTTTCTTCAGTTTGCTTTTCCCTGTAATTCTGGCACTACAAAGGGTGGACTTGAGAATTCTTTATGAGAAATAGTTACAAGTGGCAAAGTCATGACTGTAGAGTGGGTGACTGAGCTGTTCATATCCACTTTCATTAATAATTCCTTTAGAAATGTGATATGCATGAACTGGCACATTGTCTCAGAGAATTGTGACCTTTGGGTGACATTTCCTACCATTTGGTGGTGATCACTTCCTTCAGCTGCAGTACCAGATCTGTGTAATACTGCCCTTGTGACTGTTTTTTTGTGCAGCAAAAAGTCCATCTTCAGTGGCCCTTTGAGTCCAAGAAAATGTTGGTTATGACCCTGTAGAAGGCTGCTTGCAAAACATCTTTGGTGGTGGAAAACAATGATGGTCCCATTGCATAGTCTCTTGCTTCCTCCCTGGGTGTGATAAATCCAGGTTTCATCACCAGTAATCTAGCAGGCATCAAGATCAACTGGGTTAGAGTAGAACAAGATAAGAAGCTTGCTACTTAACATGTAATGATGAGTACATTGCTCTGCAGAAAGGTTTTGAGGCAACCATTGTCCTGAAACCTTTTGCATCCTCAAATGCTCATTGAGGATGGTAAAAGCACTTTCATGAGAAATCTCAAGTTTGAGATTGTGGAATCTTTATTCAACTGTTGTTGAGAGCCAGGGTTTCAGCCATTGCAACTGTGTTTTCCATTGTGGCCTATCACTCATAGAGTCATCTTCAATGGACTTATGTTCTTGGATGAATCCACATCTCAGCTTGTTATGAACAAACCACTTCATTTCCTATCCAAGAATGCACTCCATAGTAATGAGAAATACATACCAAATTAAGAAAAATATTAAATTTTCCACATCTTTGAAGTTGGACAGCAATGACTAATGGATTTTTGTTTGCCTCATATGATAGTGGCAAGTTAGATTTACATGTTGAGAGACTTTTTCAGAATTAATGTATCGCTCCTGAAATGACCAGTGTGCTTGTACAGGGTGATACAGAAACATTGNGTAATGAGAAATACATACCAAATTAAGAAAAATATTAAATTTTCCACATCTTTGAAGTTGGACAGCAATGACTAATGGATTTTTGTTTGCCTCATATGATAGTGGCAAGTTAGATTTACATGTTGAGAGACTTTTTCAGAATTAATGTATCGCTCCTGAAATGACCAGTGTGCTTGTACAGGGTGATACAGAAACATTGAAGCAATGTAAATGCTTTGTCTTTTTTTATGTACCAAAAACAGTGTGGTTTTGC